GTCATCGAATTTTAATCTTCTACTTGATAGTTTTTTTTTATTTATCAAAATTAAATATATGATGGATATTTTTAAATTTTATCTTTGTTTTATTAATAAAAATTTGAAAAAATTACAATGTTTCTATAGCTCCCAAAATTTACATTCAATCATTTAGGATTCCCTCTGGTTTAAATACTATTACTACTTTATTCACAGTGTAAACAGAATCTTATTTACCTGAAGGATAATGAAAACCTCACTATTGTTGATGGGTGTGAACACTGTTACAAAATTATTATTCTACCCACAAGGTAAACAGAATCTTAATTTAACTGAAAAATAAAACCAATCTCTTTATTATTAAAAGATGTAAACAGTTTCTTTTCTTTCTATTTTGGAGGGGGGGGGGTATAAACAATATTAGTTTTCATGGAAAGAGTCTAGGGACTGAGAGCCAGACTTAGTAATTGTCATGGTAGAATGGGCAGCTTTAATCAGTTTGAAGCGAGTAAATTATTTTATGAAAAACTACTTAAATTAAAAAAAATTAATAAATGAACAATTACAAAATTCAACTTATAGTAGCAACTACTGAAAAGTGACGTTAATCGTACATATTTTATGGTAATTAATTACTGAAACTTGGTAATACTGTTCTCTACAAATAATGTTAACAATCGCGAAATAAATTAAATTTGAATGTTAGAACTGTGACTCTGACTGTGTATGTATACTAGTAGCTCCATCTGTTGAAAAGTATTAGCAATATATAAAGGCATTATTCATAGACGTGTTTCGCCAGATTTGAAAGTTTAAGTAATGTAGTATCTATAAGTTAGATGTGTAGATTTATCATAACATACCCCAGATTCATAAAGTGGGTAAATTAATATTTAGAGTTATACATGGACTTTTCTCTACATTATAATACTTTTATTTGCAAGCTTTCAGCCCTCTCACCGGAGCCTTCATCGTGCAACAATGTACGAGTGATACAAATTCGTTTATCTGTGAAACACTGCTTTAAAATAGGAATCTAGGCCTTACTTTTATCTTATATTATTTCATACCAGTAATATATATGAAACGAATGAATAGTCTTAATACTTCTGTGTAGAGAAATAGTTTTTCTACATACAATTTCCTACACTCATGACGTACACAATGAATGTAAAAAAAAAGAATGACAGCTCGATGTACGATACCTAAAAAAACTTTAACTTAAGCCGCATTGAACTGGCTTACAACAATACCACAGTTACACCTCAGCTTAGTCTTAGTTACAGTAACTAACATTAATAATACTGTTTATACTCGTAGTAACTATTGTTACACCACTTTGAGCCTAGTCTCAGTTACAACATTAACAGTCGTCTTAAAATGGTTGAACCACTTTAACAGTTTAAGCCTAGTTTTAATTTTTGGGTTGTTTTAGTAAAGTCTTGATACTTGGTTTTGAATTTCACTCAAAACTACACCAAGTCTATGTGTACTAGCCTTCCATAATTTAACAGTGAAAGACTAGAGGGAAGGCAGCTATTCATCACCACCCACCGCCAACTCATGGGCTACTCTTTTACCAAAGAATTGTGGGATTGACATTATAACGCCCTCACGGCTGAAAGGGCGAGCATGTTTCGTGGAACGGGTATTCGAACCCGTGACCCTTAGATTGCGAGTCAAGCGCCCTAATCACATGGCCATACTAAGTTAACGTTCATGGCATTACTTTTAAGGCTGTGTCTTCTCGATTAATTTGTTTTTGATCATGTCTGTGCGACTTGGGAGGGCCAGGTGCTATTTACACCTCTTTCTTCTTTTTATGAATCGACTTCTGCTGTGTTTCTTACACTTTTACTACAGTTTAAGATTGGCTGGTCAAACTCTCAGTTCTCCCTCGCGAGGATTTAGTAATGTGTTCTGTAAATACGACATTTTCTCTGCCATGCGCACATCTATATCACCGTAGCGTGGGTGCAATTTCTCAGATTAAGATTCAGAAACGGCTTATTTCTTAAACAAAGATTCCAACTGGAACTTAAATAGTTATTTCTGTTGAAACCAAAAAAAAAAAAAAAAACTTCCGGAAAATTTGATGATAAGGTTTTTATTTTTATCCGAACTAAACATTCTAATTTTCAAATGTTCTAATTATTAAAAAACAAACATACTTGATTCATTATTTATCAAAACTCCAGTAATTTCTAAGGAGCTTTCAATGAAAGTGAAGTAAATATGTGAAGAAGAACATATCAGAAAATTAGTGCATACTATTTTTCTTAAAGTACAAAACACCCCTAAACGAAAAAGCTTTACATCAAATACATTGTATAACACTGTCCATCTTTTACAATATAGGTTAGACATTGTTTCACATTTAAAACCAAAACCGATTTAAAACTCATTATAAAAAGAACCCTAGACTATAGATATCTTTCCATACATTTTTCTTAATTTAGTCCATCACAAATATCAAATTAGAAGTGTATAAAAATAGCCTTTTTTTAAAGCTTTTTTTTGTTGTTGTTGTTGTTTGCCACACGTCGTTGCCAGGAGGCTCAACGGTTACTTTTATCACTAATATTAGGCTTATTAGTTTCACCGATTCTCAAGTTTTAGGCCTTTAACAACGTAAGATAAAAACAAAAAAAAACTAATTTCGTAAGTGAATAACTCTAGTATACAATGTCGATGGGATCGTATCAGTGGTTTCTCTTCGTATCTTATCAAATGAATGGCGTTTCCAAATTTCAGTTCTGATTAAAATGAAACGGTGACATCATATGACGTCATAGGTCGTATTTCTAGTCACTATCGTGATGTTTGTTTGTTTGTTTTGAACAAAGCCACAATGGGCTATCTGCTGTGTCTACCGCGAGGAATCTAACCCTGGATTTTAGCATTGGAAATCCCTAAACTTACCGCTGTCCCACCACGATGGTAAGACAGAGTTATACAGTTCGTTCACGTATAGAAAGCATAACAATGCAAAATACTAATACTGTTTCCTTGGTTATAGCTACATCTCTGTATTATTTGATTCACCAACTTTCCTTGGTTATAGCTACATCTCTGTATTATTTGATTCACCAACTTTCCTCGGCTATAGCTATATCTCTGTATTGTTTGATTCACCAACCTTCCTCGGCTATAGCTATATCTCTGTATTGTTTGATTCACCAACCTTTCCTGTCGTTGAATCAAATAACAGAAAGATGTAGCTATAACCAAGGAAAGTTGGTGAATCAAATAATAGAGAGATATGGCTTAACACATACGAGTCAACTTGACAAATACGGGTTAATATGAGTTAATTTACCAAGCACAAGTTAGTACGAATAAATAACCCAATGCAGCTACGAGTCAACCTGACAAATATGGGTTAATACGAATTAACGCACCATATACAGGATAATATAAGTTAACCTACTAAATGCAGGTTAATACGAATTAACCAACCCAATAGAGGTTAACATGGGGTAATGTGGGTTAACTGATTTAATACGGGTTAACCTACCAAGTTCAAGTTAACTGACCCAATATGAGCACTATGCATAAAATAATTTCCAGGCTTCATGTATTGTGTCATCATCATAACTGGTATCATAACAAAGTTTATACTGTTACATCTCCGTTTGTTAATTAACTTTCCGTAACTTCGTTCCGACGAAACTTTAGCGACCACAAGTCCTTACTTAATAAAACTGGTTTATTCTTTCCGAATATAACTTTACGATACACTTAATTTCAATATTCGCGCTAAAACAAACACTATAACGAACGAACGTTAACTTCAACAATACCCTGTGACTGCAATTCAATTACTCACTACCTACACATTACATTATTCTGTCACGTTGTCACCCTCTTTTATATACCCGACTACCCTATATCTAGTAAATACTAGAGCATTCGCCAAGGTACAGGATAGTTCTAGAAACGTGGCGTCACAGTAGTCATGTGACTCGCTGACGCAACAATACCTTTCATGTTTGGACGACATACACCATGAAAATTGTGAGCCAAAGGTGTTGTTAAAGACATTGGTTCTGCATTGATTTAAAAAAGGGAAAAACCTTTGGGGGCTGAAACTATTTTAGAGGCAAAGACCCCTCCCCCCACATATCTGCCTATAGTCATGGTGTCATGAAACCAGTTCAGTTTGTCTGCTTGTCTAAACTCAGCACATTTCATCACCAAATTTGACCCTGAATAATAGTTAGGTATCTTTTGAATCTGATAAGCACGTGTACAGTTTATATATATATATATATAAGCTTTATACATTTGTTTTTGGGTATATGTACAAGTAGGGAGTGTCATTATCTTATTTTCTTCGTTAGTTCGTCTAAAACGCTTTTAATGATACAAAAAAAAAATATGTTAGTTCTAAATGAAAACAGTTAAGCTGTAGAATAGATTCAAATTTTAATCTCTATTCTCGCTGTAGAACAGCCAGAAGATAATATTTTTATTTGCTCAAGGTCTCAAACAATAGTTATTACAGCAATGAATAATCCGTTGATAAAGAAACAAATAAAATATGGTGTCATGAAACGGCTGCGGTCAAAGGTGATTTTCTGAAGGAAGGTCTTTTCTATCTGACTATAGTTAAATATCTCTTTCTATGTGCAATCCTTTATAAACTTTAAACTGTATTGGATAAACAAAAAAACGTATCATTCATTCTAATCCGGTACAAGTGTACAGATAAAAAAAAAGATAACAAAAACAACGTATTCTTTGTATTCTGGTTAGTTTTTTCTTTCTTTCATAACTAACAGAACACCGATAAGTTGACTACCGCCTTGCTTTACAAAGTGTGTTAACGTTTAACACATATACATTATAAAAAGATTTGTTTATTTCACTTTGATGGTTCTATTAAGATAAAAACTGCGTTTCATAACTCGTTGTAACGTAGGCTTACAAACATACTGTGTTATAACTATGAGCGATCACTTGAACTTTATTCAAACGATCGTCTGCTCTAACAATTACAGGGTCAACAACCGTTCAGAAACTTCAACGCAATATCAACTTAACACACACAAAAAAAAAACGTAAGTTAAACAGTCTTTGGAAATTATTGTTCTTATTATTAATTTTTATTTTACCCTAGATAAGTTGTAGGTTTGTTTGTTTTGTTAATTATGCACAAAGCTACACAAGGGCTATCTGTGCTCTGCCCACCACGGGTATCGAAACCCGGTTTCTAGCGTTGTAAGTCCGCAGACATACCGCTGTGCCACTGGGGGGCGAAGTTGTAGGTGTAGGACGTTAGGACGTTAAAATACAGTTTTACTTATTTCTAAGCCTATTTTACAATGTTATTGTTAGTATTGTGAATCGTTGCTGCTATAGTCGAGTAACGTAGAAAATAGTCTCGCAACACAATAACACTGACATATTATTGTTAATCAAATCCTATTTCTCAACTGTAATCCATTCTCAGATATATATACTACATTAAATTAAACTAAATAATGAAAAGATACAATAAGCTCAAATAATCTAACAAATACTTTGAATTGCACATATCAAGAAGGTAATCCTTTTACTC